GTGTTAATCTTTTTAGAGATACCCTGTGTGATGCTCACCTTACCTCTCTGTCCCGTCGTGGCCACTTCCTCAATGTGAAGAATCTTAGATCTCTCAGGATACCCCTGCAGCCTCAGAGCCCTGGCAGGAGCAGCTCTGGGAAGCAACCCCTGATCTCTGCCCCAGGATATCCTGGGTTTTCTTGGCTTAGCACCTGTGCTTTGTTGAGCAGCCTCTTCGTGTCAGCACCTGTGTGAGGTTCTTCTATGTGGAACTAGTTGGCCAGTTACTGTCGAGTCAATTCCAACTCATGGCAACTCTGTGTGTGTCATAATAAATGGAAGCCTTGTTTAACTTAATTAAACAGAGAAAAGATGGGGAGAAGTGGGACCATGCAGCCCTTTCCCCATGCTAGCACACACATACCTGCATGCAAAAGGATGCACCTGTTGTTGTCCAGAGTTTAGTGCCCTGAAAGCCAAGGCAGGGGTTTCTCAGACTATAGCTCTGGGCCAAAGAAATCACCAGGTCTTTTACCATGCCTGCCTCACCCATTCCACAACCCTGGCCTAAAAGAAACAACACCCACAGCTACATGTTGCTTAAAATAGAAAGAGAATAAAAAAAGAAGAAGCCTGGAATGCACCCTTGAGCCAGGGATGGCCATGGAATGGATCTAGGGAGCAAGATTGCTAAGTTTGCAGGTCCCAGGGTAAAATGAAAACTCAGGGTGCCTTGTTCAAAATGTGTAATGAATTTCAAGACATCAAAAGCAGAGCATGAAACCAAGAACAAGGCTCTTGTCAGTGCAGGACCCAGCAGCCTGGGTGGTACTGCCAGGGTGGGGCCTGGTCCCAGGGCAGCCAGTCCATTGGCTGGCTAGAGAAGTGAAGGTTCTCAGCCAGTCCGGGCAACTGTTTTTCCCCTGAATTTTAATGGATGAGGGACAGACACCATTGGAAGTGAAAGAAACCAAAGTCACAAGAATTCCCTAAACTTGCTGCTGACAGTTTTTCTCCACAGAGCTGCTAGAATGACCTTTTTAAGATGAATCACACACCATCTTTCCAAGGCTTGAACCCGCCCTTTCCACTCCAAATACTCTTCCCATCACTCACGCCACGCCAGCCACACTATGCTTTTGTGTTCACTGAACAGATCAAACTTATTCAAGGTACATGAGCCACATGTGCTGGTCTTCTGTCCCAAACAGCCCCCCTCCTGCTCCTTCTTAACCGTCAGATCTTACATTAAATGTCACCTCTGCAGACAGGCCCCCATGCCCCTGGCTGACGATGGTTCCTCCTGCTCTTCTCTGTCATAGCCCATCTGTCTCCTCATGGCACTTGTCACAGTTTGTAATTATTTTTATTGGTTTGTGTACATGTATCTTGTCTGCCTCTCTAGTAGAATGTCAACTCCGTGAGTGCAGGGACGTAGCTTGTTTTGTTCACCTCTAGTACCCAGGTGTCTACCACCACAATGCCAGTACTGTCAAGTTGATGCTGACTTAGAAGGTAGAGCTGAACTGCTCCACAAGGTTGCCTAGGCTGTAACCTTTACAGGAGCAGATTGCAAAGTCTTTTCTCCTGCGGAGCGGCTGGTTGTTTCAAACTACTGACCTTTTGGTTAGCAGCCAAACACTTCACCCTGCGATACCTTAAGTGTACCTACTAAAGTACCTGGCAAATTATAGGAACTCAACCATTTATGGATGAATTTTTTTAATATACTTTTTTTTTTTTTTAGAGCAGTTTTAGGTTTACAGAGGAATTGTGCAAAAATTTCTCCTTTCCTGAATTTATACAACTTATTTCTGTTCCCTGACTTACCACTTTGGCACCACGGTTCTTTTAAAGATGGTGTGACTGGTGAAAATTGTGTAGCTCTGGAAGGATGGTTTATGGCACAGAGCGGAGAAAGGCAGGGTAAACAGGCAGGATCTGCAACAGGTATTTAAATGTGATGTGATAATGGCCTGAGTAGGATGAAAGCCTGTGGACAAAGCGAAGAGTGTAGCAAGAATTACTCGGATAAGGATTGCTTGGACTTGGTAATGAGAATCAAAACCAAACCCACTGCCATCCAGTCAATTCCAACTAACTCATGTTGTTGTTGTTATGTGCTGTCAAGTCAGACCTGACTCATAGGGACCCCTCCTTGGGTTTCTGAGGTGGTATCACTACAGAAGTAGATTACCCAGCCTTCCTTCTGAAGAGTGGCTGGTGGGTTTGAACTGCCAGACTTCTGGTTAACAGTCAAGTGCCTTAAGCACTATGCTACCAGAGTGCCTAATTAACTCATGTTGTTTTTGTTGTTATGTGCTGTCGAGTCAGACCTGACTCATAGCAACCCCTCCTTGGGTTGCCGAGGCAGTATCACTACTGAAGTAGATTGCCCAACCTTCCTTCCGAGGAGTGGCTGGTGGGTTTGAACCGTCTGCCTTCTGGTTAGCAGTCAAGTGCCTTAGGCACTAGGTTACCAGAGCTCAAACTAACTCATAGTGACCCTAAATGACAGAGAAGAACTGCCCCCACAGGGTTTCCAAGGCTATAAATCTTTACAGAAACAGACTGCCTCATCATTCTTCCACGGAGTAGCTGGTAGATTCGAACAACTAACTTCTAGTTAGCTGCCGGGTGCTTTAACGACTATGCCACCAGAGTTCCTTGGTAATGAGAACAGTCAGCAAAATACAAACAAACAAACAGAAAACACAACACTCCAATTCATTGGCTCTTGGAGAACTTGATCCTATCAATTAGGAAAATATTTTTTTTTCAGCTGCTGTTGAGTCAATTCTGACTCATGGTGACCCCAGGTGTATCAGAGTAGAACTGTGCTCCATAGGGTTTTCAGTGGCTGAATTTTTGGAAGCAGACTGCCAGGCCTTTCTTCTGAGGTACCTCTGGGTGGACTTGAACCTCCAACCTTTTCGGTTAGCAGCTGAGCACATTCACTGTTTGCACTATCCAGGTGCTCCCAAGAACCGCCAGCCTTCTGGTTAGCAGTCAAATGCCTTAGGCACTGTGCCACCAGAGCTCCTAGAATATACCCACGTGTCCAAAAATGAAAAAGAGAGGATTGATAAAGCCAACTATTTATTTTGTCAAGTGTCCATTTTTAAGTAATTACCAAATACCATCACAGCCATGTATACTGCCTTAACCACTGCACCACCAGAGCCCCTTACCAAGAATTAGGAAGGTTATAACCTAAAAACAAACTTAACCTTTTGAAAAGAGATAGAGGAAAGGAAAGTTAATAAGAATTCTCATTTCAGAAACAGTTATGAGAACGTGAATTCAAGAATAAAAAAAGCAGATGTAACTCTATGCTCTCACTTAATTAAGCTACATCTGAAATATCTTATAATAATTAACACTTGTTCCAGTTTACACAGCACCTTTACATAAATGGTCTCACTTAATCCTCCTAATAACATCTTGCAGTGGCTACAGTCTCCCCTTTGGTGCCTATGTTTCCCTGACATGTCACGTTGCAATTTAAAACCCCCTCCTCCTGTATTTTACTGTCCCTAATGAGCTGTTGCTCACATCCATGTTTTTGTAGAAAACACTATCTCTGGTTATCCCATTCAGGCAGGATATGGTTTCCATTCTCTTCCAAGTGGGGGAAAGAAGTGACAGTCTGTACACAAACAACATGTGGCCATCCCAAGGGGACAATCTGGCCCTTGCCTAAGCCAGGCCTGACCAAGGAGGTAAAGTCTGGTGTGTGGAAATGGGGAATATGTCCACTCAGTCACCACGTGGAAACCATGTGACTTAGGGCACTCATTCCCTAAGACTAACCTCTCTGAGTCTTGGTTTCCTCTTCTGAACCTCAAAAGCTTTGTTGTCAATTACCAACAAATATGATTGAATAACTATGAAATACCAGACACTGCCAGTGCCTGGCCTCTTACGGCCCAAACCTCAGAACAACCTCAGAACAGCTGGATTCCTGAAAGGAGCAAAGCCAATGCCTACATTGCCACTGTATTTACTGTAAGCAGCTAACAGCCAGGCAGTGTCCACCCCCTTGAGACTTTTTCTTTTAAGAAGTGGTTTTTTTTTCCTCTCTGATACTTCCTTTTTGGGTATTTTAAAGATAAATGGAGAAAGCTTGTATAGGAGGGAGCCCTTCTGTCCAAGTTTTGAAGAATGTTGGTAAATTCCAAGCTGCTGTGGTCGTTGAGAAGAAGCCAGGAAGCTGCATAAAAGATAACAACTGTTCTTTTAAGGACACAGCAGTCCCAGGATTTTATATTCTCCTCTTTGATCTAGAAAAAGGGAAATGTCAGTGAGGGAATTTGGAACTATGGATAGGGAAGCTGGACAATAAAGGGGAATACTTTTTATCACTGCATTTATCCAAATTCTCCTTTAACAAGTACACATTACACTTTTTAAATAACTTTTCTTTTTCTGTATAAGCTCATTGGAAAACAGAATCTCAAACATAATTCCCTGTATTTTTATTCTTGTATTCCTTATATTTGTATCCAAAACCAAATCAAACCTGTTGTCAAGCCAATTCAGACTTATAGCAACCCTATAGGACAAAGTAGAACTTACTCATAATGTTTCCAAGGCTGTTATCTCTACAGAAGCAGATTGCCATGTCTGTCTCCTATGGAGCAGCTGGTAAGTTCAAACTGCTGACCTTTCAGTTACCAGACCAGCACTTAACCACTGTGCTACCACGACTCCTAATGCCTTTTATAGTGGGGAGGTGTAGAGATGGTTATCTGCAGTTAGGCTCAGAATGCATACAGGTGTCAACTCATATTTTATAATCCATTATCACTTTACCTCTATACCTCATATATTTTACAATATTATCTGCAGTCTTTACAACCCTGTGTGTAGATTCAGGTATCATTTCCATTTACAGACAAGGAAACTAAGGCTCAGAAAGTCAGGTAGCTTTCTCAGGGCCACTCAGTAACAGTGCCTTACAGGAATGGTGGGATTCTGGGCTAAGCTCTTGACCACGTCCTCTGCCCATCTCCACAGCCTCGATGTACTCTGAGATCCAGAGGGAGCGGGCAGATATCGGCGGCCTGATGGCCCGGCCAGAGTACCGGGAGTGGAACCCAGAGCTCATCAAACCCAAGAAGCTACTGAACCCTGTGAAGGCCTCCCGAAGCCACCAGGAGCTGCACCGAGAGCTGCTCATGAACCACAGAAGGTAGGAGTGGAGCCTGGCTACCTGGGCCTGGCAGGCACCTCCACAGGCCTGCCAGAGCCTGGGAAGGCACCCTTCAGGAAAGGCAGATCTGTCAGCCTCCCAGGGCCCCTGGAGGCTGGGGAGGCCTGGGGGTGCCCCACACTGTCACCAATAGACTGAAGGCTAAGTCCCCAGTGGACCCTTGGGAACAGGAGGGCTCCAGAAAGCCCCATTCTCCCAACCGATCACCTACTTCATGCCTGCTCTCCACATATATTTCCTGAGCACCTGTTGTGTGCTGGGCACTGTGCTCAGACCTGGGCATGCAAGAAAAAATGGGATGCAGCTCCTGCCCTCACAGAGGGGGACAGATGCCTAACTATGGTGGTATGACCGGTGCTTTGATGGAGGGTAAATGGGCCTGTGGAACCTAACTGGGGTCCACAGTGATGCCTCAGCTAAGGCCCAAAGGGTGGGCAGGCGACAACCAGGTAAGAAAGTGGACAGGTGATGGCAGAGAAAAGCATCTTCCTGAAGAGAAAGTAGCATGTGTAAAAGAACAGCACATGCAAGCCCAGTGCAGCTGGAGTGTTGATTATAAAGTGTAGGCCAGGTAGCTTGTGAGGTGTGGCCAAAAAGTAAGGGTGGACCATGGAAGCACATGGTCTGAAAAGTGCTTCAGAAAGGACGCTCTCTGGCTTGAGTATTGGGGTACAATACTGGAGAAACATGAATGGAGCAGGGAGGCCCAGAATGGTGGTAGCACCTCGAGGGCAATGCCCTGGGATGCATGAGAGAGATGGACTCAAGAGGCATGTGGATGGTGACAGGGCAGGGACTTGATAGCTGAACAGGATGTGGAGAGGGGAAGTGGGAGGCTGGGCTCTCCCCCTGATGCTCAACATTGCTGGTTCACAAGTGCTAGCATGAAGACTGCGGTGTCTTCGCACCTCCCTCTGCTGGCTGGTCCCAGTATTGAGGCTGGTTATGATTTTCATTCTTTTCAACTGTGAGTGACAGACTTTCCTTCCTGCAGATACAATTTTCTATCCTGTTTTTGTTTTTCCTTTCCATTTAGTATTATATCATGGTATTTTATCCAATTACCTTTTAGAGCCATTCCTTTTTATGTCAAAAAACATCACCACAATCAAAAACAAAAGCCAAAAAGACAAACAATGGAAAAATATTTGCAATGTGAAAAACAGATAAAAATTAATATATGTAGGTCCACTACAAATCCATAAGGGAAAAGTAAAAGAAAGATAGATGTTATTAGTTCACCAAAGAAGAAATGCAAATGGCTGGTAAATACTGTTATCAAAAGCTGTTCCATAAGACTTAAGAAGAGATACAAATGAAAATCAGATTTTTTTTTTAATTGTGATTTGAGTGAAAATTTACAGAGCAAATTCACTTTCCATACAGCAGTTCACATATACTTTGTCTCATGACATTGACCACAATTCACCACAATGCAACAGCTCCCCTCCCACTTCTTCCTGACAGTTACCTCTTCCTTGTGTCTATCCCTCCATTCCCCGCTGCCCCCTGAGCTGTCTCCCTGTGCATAAATAGCCCTTCTTTCTCCCATGATTATTCTCTCCAAGGAGTGGATCTACCTCAGGTACATGTTCAACTCCTATGCCTGTCTTTTGCTTGGCTGGAAGCCACAGGTGTGGGTTCAATTCCAGACCTGAAGGGCAGCTAGGAGCAATAGTTTCAGCAGTTCTACCAGGCTCTATTAGACCAGCAAACCTGGTCCCCCCCTTTTTTTTTCCAAATGATTTTGAGTTTTGTTCCACATTGTTCTCCCTCTCTATACATGATCTCCTACATAGATCCCCATCCAAGTGGTTGACATTGGTAGCCAGGCACCCTCTTCTTCTGGTCTCATAGTTGTACAGGCTGTGGGTCGCATGGTGTACCAGGCGCTAGGACTAATTGTTTCCATGAATCTTTGGTTGTCTTCATTCTTCTTTGCTCTGGACGAGGAGAGACCTTTTGTTGCATCTAGATGGCTGCCTGCAAGCCTTTAAGATCCCAGTCACTACTCACCAAAGCAGGAGGTAGAACAAGGTATTGTGTAGTATGCCATGCCAACCAAGCCTGATGTCCCCTGTGACCATGGTCCAACTTTTTGGTTCAACTTCTCAGTCCCTCTGGGTAGCTGGCTGTGACCAAGAAGTGACTACAACCTTGTCCCTTGTCAGCTCTACTATACACCTGGGAATTCAGATCATACAAATACACTTATAGGACCATTGTTTGCCAACCCTATACATGGTCTTGGGTACACTCCCCACTTCATAGACATACCTAATAGTTCAGCCTGTCCACCCAGAAAATCAGGTATTTCTTGCCTAGCAGATCCTCAAAGATACAGAGATTGGCTTGTGGCAGTGGAGAGAAACAAAAGCGCTTGTACACTGTGGACAGAAGTATAAATTGGATGACCTTTCTAGAGAATAGATGGAAATATGTATCCAAAGGTTTTAAAGAGCCTGACCCAGCAATTCTACGGTGAGAAGCTTATCCTAAGAAAACCTCCACAAATAATATAAAACCTAGTCTCTGCAGTCAGACAGGCCCGGATTCACGTCTTCATTCAGCACCTTCAGTAGCAGAGATTTGGACTAGCGTCTTAAGCCCGAGAAGCCTCGTTTCCCTTCTCTGTAAATGGGCAGGGCTGCCAGGAGGGTCGCACGAGATAATGGTGTAGGTTGGTGTCACTGCTATGTAGCCCTGAGATTGAAGGTGGGAGTGGGGAAGGAAGTAAGGGGATGTCCTCACGGTTGCCCCCACCCCAGAGGCCTTGGAGTGGACAGCAAGCCGGAACTGCAACGTGTCCTGGAGCACCGCCGGCGCAACCAGCTTATCAAGAAAAAGAAGGAGGAGCTGGAGGCCAAGCGACTGCAGTGCCCCTTTGAGCAGGAGCTGCTGAAACGACAGCAGAGGCTGAACCAGGTAGGTGTGAGGTTCCCAGGCCCTTCAAGGCCATTTGGCCATCTCCTGGTCCAGGGAGGAACTCTGCACATAGCCACAGATGACAGATGGGAGGAGGTTGAACAAAAAGAGCACTGGACCAGGAGTCCACCAGGAGCCTTCGCTCTGCCACTTATTTTGCGGTTTGGCTTTGGGCAGGTGGCTTCCCCTCTCTGGACTTTAGTTTCCTCATTACTACACACATTCTGATTTCATTCACCCAACTACCCTGAGAGCCAGATGAAATTCCTTTTCTAGAGGTGGGGAACCTAAGCTCCGATGAGGTAAACTATTTGAACTACGTTTCATATGCTGAACTTGGTCATGTACTGTCCCCTAGCTACCTGGGTGGTAGTGAAATCAATCCTGGGCTTTGTTTCCCCACTCAAAGAACTCTATGTTCAAACCCTGTGGCTTTTGAGAATAGGAACCCCTCCTAGCCCCACCTACTTCACACTTCTGTTTGTTTCTCTTTCAGCTGGAAAAACCACCAGAAAAGGAGGAGGATCACGCCCCTGAATTTATTAAAGTCAGGGAAAATTTGCGGAGAATTGCCACACTGACGAGTGAGGAGAGAGTGCTGTAGAGCTGCGTACAGGGGCTCCCACACCCACCTCCAGCCCTGCTGTACCTGGTGGCCCCAGGCTTCAGGCCTTGGGACATCTGTGATGTTCAGGCTCGTTCCCATAGAAATGTGTCACCCCAGAGAGCCTGGCCTTCCTTGAGAGGCTGGGGACCCTCAACACCTAGACTTTTCCTTCTCAGCACCCACCCCTCCTGGTCCAAGAGGAAGCTACTGCCAGGAAAACTATCACCAAGTCATCTCTCTTTCTCCCTAAAGGGAACACTGAGCCCTGCTGAGATTCTTTTTTCTTTTTTTAACCTAGTAGCCCAGTTTCCCAGGCCTTCCCAGCAGGAGCTTCTGAGGCCCCATGGGGCTCTGCCTCGCTGACCAGCCCAGCTCCCAGGTTCTTGGAGAACTCCTTTGCAGGTTTCACCTGCAGACAGATGTGGGGCAGCCAAGTGGAACCGCTCACTATTTTTGTAAACCAGGAAGGGAAAGAAGGTTCATGTGGCAGGTGGTCGTGGCAAGGAAGGGCAGGACAGCCAGGGGCACCTTGTTGCTCACACTGCAGTCAGGTTGGACAGAAACTAAGATAACTCTTTAAGGTCTGCCAGCCTAGTCCACACATGTGCTCTTATTTTCTCTGCTCCACAGCTTCATACCCAGACCTTGTAACCACACCTGGTCAGGGCTGTGGCATTCCTGCTCCCACAAGTTTAGAATAGTGCATTTCAAACTTTATTGTGCAAACAAATCCCAAGGGGATTCTGTAACATGTGGTTTCTGATTCAGTAGGTCTGGGTGGGGGCTGATTCTGCACGTCTGATAAGCTCCCAGGTGATGCTGAGAGTGCTGGTTTGTAGACCTCACTGTGAGCAGCAAGGCTGGAGCACACTGCTGTAGTAACTATTAGAACATCATCCCTGAAGCCACATAAAACCCAGCGACCTCTGCCCTGGGGACTTCCACCCCCATATACACCCAGTCCCCACCCCACCTCTGTAAATCCAAGGACTCCAACCTGGAAAGACTTTTGCCTAGCAAATGGTGATTGTGTTATGTGTTATGTGATTGTGTTTTCACCAGAGATTTGTATATGATTGCTAATCTGTGTTTCTTATTGGGGTGCCTACACTGTTAGGATGCAATTCTAGCCAAAAAAAAAAAAAATCTTTGTTTAACCTATTCCTAGAGTCTCATGGAGAGCAAATACACAATGATTTCTAATAGGCTTCTAGAAATAGCAACAGTGGCTTGAAGACCGTGTTGCTCTCTTTATGAACAGGCCCCTGTGGGTCCATATTCTCAGCTCTGCCACCTCAGATCCATCCTCTCCTTGGTTTCTAGCTCCTAGGCCAGCTCCAGTGAATTCATCTGTTTTTCCTCAAAATTCCTTTCCCATGTGAGAGCCAGTATTTTAACCATTTGCTCCTGTCCTATTTTTAAAGACTGGTTTCCTTTTCCCTGAACAATCAAATCCCTAAACCAGCCATTAAGGTGGAGTGACTATGCTGGCAAAGCATTTCCATTCACCTCACAAACTGCCGGAGTGTGCCGCCAGAGGTGGGGCCTGAGGGAGGAAAGGGGTGATCCTGGCCTTATTCCTAAGAGGGACCAAAGAGGACATCTTTTTTCTGTGTGTGGTGCCAGCATAGGGGTGTTAATACACACATGCTGCCTATGAGTGTGTGCATCAAGCTCTAAAAGGCTCTTAATGTGGCTGTCTTGGTGAGAGTGTGGTAATGCTGTTTTTCACTGTCGGCCAGGTGAGGGTAATGCTAAAGATGCATGATACCTAAATAAAGATCACCACTCCCTAAAGAAGTCAGCCACAGGGGTCTATGTGTTGTTCAGAAATGTGAAAAGAAGCAACATCTAGTGTCCAGGGTATACTAAGACCCTCCTGCCATACTTGGGAGAGCTCTGGTGGCATAGTGCCTAAGGCATCTGACTGCTAACCAGAAGGCTGGCAGTTCAAACCCACCAGCCACTCCAGGGAAGGAAGATTGGGCAATGTACTTCCGTAGTGATACCGCCGTAGAAACCCAAGGAGGGGTCACTATGAGTCAGACCTGACTTGAAGGCAGTGAGTTTGCTTTGGTGTGATACTTGGGATCTCACCTGGATGTCCCCAGAGGCACTCCATGGAGACAGCATGAAGTAGAAGGAACGTCAAGTGCCATGTCATCCAGTGAAGCAGTGGCAGATGCCCTTGGTTCACTCCCCAGTGGTCAGTCCCAACTTGTCCTGTAGCCACCTTCCACAGTAGAAGGTAGAAACCTGGATTCTTACTTTCCCAGCCGCCTTTGCACTTGGGATGACCATGTAACCAGATGCGGCCAATGAAATTTGGGAGGATGTTTAGAGGGGCTTCTGGGAAAGCTTATGCTTTTCTGATAAAAGGGACAGACATGGCTAACACCTTTCTGCCCCTCCCTTCTTCCTGCCTTGATTGAGGATGTGATAGCTGGAGCTACAGTAGTCATCTTGCTACCATGAGAAAAAGGCCAAGAGAATCGCAGAGATGTCAGTTGAGCTGCCAAACCAATGCCAGCATCCATGCTCCTCCACAATTCTTGTAAATAAGAATAAATCCCTCTTTGTCTAAGCCGTTATTGGTCAGGTCTCTGTTACTTGCAGCCACATGCATTCCTAACTAACATAGAAGGCCAGTGCTCCTGCCATCAGAATTAGCTGCAGGCCATGCTAAAAATCCAGATTCCTCTTTCCCATCAGAAACCTATTGGATCAGGATCCTCAGCAGTGGTGCAGGAGTTTCTATTTGGACATGTGATTGTTATTTGGATATCACTAATTCATCCATAATTCCATAAATATTTGCTGAGTGCCTGGTCTGTGCCAGGAAGCACATGCTGTGCTGTGGGCAGAGTGGAGAACAAAGCAGATAAAGTCTCTGTCTTTCCATCTTGACCATTGCAATGGCCACCTCCTAACTATCTCCCTGCTCTGTCCTTTCCCCTACAGCCTGTTCTCAACAGAGCAGCCAAAATGAGCCTGTCAGAATTTAAAGCACAGAGCCCTCCACTGAGCCCCATCTCAGAGTAAAACCCAGAGTCGTCCTGCAACCTACAAGGTCTTACATAGCCAGCTCCCTGTTAACCTCTGACCTACTTCCCACCATGCTCTCCACCTGGCTCATGTTACTCCAGCCTCCTCTCACCAGGCAAACCCCACCTGGGTGACTTTTCACCTGCTATTCCAGGACCAAGAGTACTCTTCTGCAGACAGGCACACAGCCCACTCCCTCACTTTCTGCAGGTCCTTTTTCATGCTCCTTTTACAGGAAGCCCCTCCTTAGGCTTCCTATCTAAAATTTCAACATCCCTTGCATACTTTCTATCCTTCCTTTCCCTACTCTATTTCGCCTCCAGATCATTTATCACCATATAATATATGCAGCATTGCTGGTTCAGTGATAGAATTCTCACCTTCTGGCAAGTAACCAGAGTCTGTTCCCCAATGAATTTGCTTCATGTGCAGCCATCACCCATCTATCTGTCAGTAGAAGTTTGCATGTTAATATGATGCTGAACATCAGTTTCAGAAGAGCGTTCAGAGTAAGATGGACTAGGAAGAAAGACCTAACACTCTCCTTCCAAAAATCAGCCAATGAAAATCTTACAGATCTCAACAGTTGTGCATGGGGTCATCATGAGTTGGGGGCTAACTTAACAGCAGCTTACAACAACAACAAACATATATTTTCCTTATTTATCTCATCCATCTCTCCCAACTAGAATGTCAACAACATAGGGACAGAGATTTTTATCTATCTTGTTTACTGCTGAAAGCCCAGTGCCTACCACAGTGCCTGGCACAGAGTAGATACTTAATAAATGTTTGTTGAATAAATGATGAGAAACCTTCTTGCTCCACCTTATTCTACTGCAGTACATAGCCTCCTCCCAGGCTCAGCCCCTCCCATCACCATAACAACTTGGACCTGACTCAGAGATATCAGTTTGGTCCAGAAGGTATCCTCTAGCCTCTTGGGTGCTTAGTAGTACATCTGAGCACTATGGCATTTGTGCCACAGGACCCACATTGGAGCTGCATGGTCCTATATTCCACAAGGATGGTCAGAGACCAGAACCCTCTCTGAAGGGTCTCTACATTAGCTCTTACTTCAGATTCTGCCCTAAATGGGGAGCAGAGGGCAGCTAAGACCACATTTTCATGCCCACCAGGCCACTAATCCTGGTTTTAGTTTGGAGAACACCCTATTTGATGGCAGATCCAGCACTGAATACAAATTCAGGGGAGGAAAGATAGCTGTTAGGTGGCCAAGGGCCTTTCCTCCCTGGTTCTGCATGTGAGCTCCAGCAGAGCTCTCAGGACTCTGTAGCTGTTGCAGGGCAACCTCTTCATGCTGGAGATTAAACTGACTCCAAGCCCGGGAGTACAGGTGCCCTTGATTCTGCTCAGTGCTTATCTCCAGCCCCAGTCCAGGGCCCTGAACATAGTAAGTGTTCAAAAAATTGTGAATGGATGTCAGAAATGATGACTGCATTTATGGAGTACCAACAATGTCACCAGCCATAACGACCATGTGTCATTCTCTATATCTTGCAGATGAACAAAGACACTTGCCAGATGTCACAAAGCAATACTCATGGAGAGATGAGATTCATATCCAGGACTATCTGTCTGCAAAGTTTGTGTTCTTGTCACTAAGCCAGGCTTTGTTCACAGAAGGGCACATAAGTGGCACCTGTACCATCCTGTCTTTTTGCAGTGGGATTTGGAGACCTATATTACCTTCTATTTGTCTACATGAATTTGAGGGATTTGGCTTCCACCTATAAAAACAGAATCCATCAAAGAAGGCATACATGAGTCCTCAGATAAGGAATATCCACACTGCTATGGCTCTGCCCCGTGTGATGCAATGCCATCCCCAAATCCAACCTATCTGGGGTCAATGCACAGGTCAGAATCAACCATATGGTCAGATTTCTGCCCTTTTGCAAGACTTGACCTACATCAGTGGCCTGAACAAT